GCCCTGACCTCCCGGGCTCAAACTATCCTCCGACTTCAGCCTCCTGAGTAGCTGGGACTTACAGACACACCAGCATACCCAGATGATTTTTTTATTTTTTATTTTTTCATTTTTTGAGGTGGAGTTTCGCTCTGTTGCCCAGGCTGGAGTGCAATGGCACGATCTCAGCTCACTGCAACTTCCTCCTCCCGGGTTCAAGCGATTCTCCTGCCTCAGCCTCTCAGATAGCTGGGATTACAGGTATGTGCCACCATGCTCGGCTAATTTTGTATTTTTAGTTAGTAGAGATGCGGTTTTACCACGTTAGCCAGGCTGATCTCAAACTCCTGACCTCGGGTGATCCACCTGCCTCGGTCTACCAAAGTGCTGGGATTACAGGTTTGAGCCACCACGCCCAGACTATTTTTATTTTATTTTTTGTAGAGACAAGGTCTTGCTAGGTTGCCCAGGCTGGCCTTAAACTCCTAAGCTCAAGTGATCCTCCTACTTTGGCCTTCCGAAGTGCTGGGATTACAGGCGTGAGCCACCATGCCCGGCCCCCAACCAGTCACCTACTTTCAAACATCAGCACCAACAGAGAAGGGCGGCTTCAGATAAATCCCCAAACATCGCATCCCAAACTTCTGGCACACCCTCCCTCCCTCTCTCACATTCACATTGTCCCCCTCCCCTCCACACACACACATTCACGGCCTCTTGGACACAGACAGGTACTCTGGGATCTCAGATGGACTCCACTGACCGTGAGCCCCCAACAAAGGTGCCACCCCATGCGACAGGAGGATCCTTCCAGAGAAAGGCTCAAAGAGATCTCCTGCCTCCCAGGGCCCCCCAGCCCCAAAGCTCTGGGCAGGAGACTTTTCTATCACCAAGCTGGCCACCTCCAATCCAAGGGCTATTGGCCGCTTCCTCCTTCTGTCCCAGAATAAGGCCGATTCTCGTGCAAAGCCCCAGGGTCAGAGTGTAGCAGGGCTTCCCTGGCTCCCCGGAGCTCCACACAGGACCGTGTGCTCATTCAGTCAGTCAGCAAACACTCACTGAGCATCGCTCACTGAGCCAGTCCTGCTGGATGAAGAGAATTCCAAGACAAGCCTGACAGAGCCCCACCTCCCAACTCAAAATCCAAAGACTCCAGGGCCATCCCCAGAAGGCAGGAGCATCTGGAGCTCGGCCAAAGCAGCCCCCATCCAAGGTGGCTCCACGGGGAGGTGAAGGCACAGAGGATGAGGAGACGTGGCCGTGCAGGAAGTGGGAAGGGCGCTGCAGGCAGGAGGTCCAGCATCACATACCCAGGACCGGCTGGGGCACGCGTCAAGGTGGTGGGAAAGTGACACAGCTGGCCGGGCGCAGTGGCTCACGCCTGTAATCCCAGCACTTCGGAAGGCCAAGGCGGGCAGATCTCTTGAGGTTAGGAGTTCGAGACCAGCCTGACCAACATAGTGAAACCCCATCTCTACCTAAAAAATACAAAATTAGCTGGGCGTGGTGGCAGGTGCCTGTGACCCCAGCTACTCATGAGGCTGAGGCAGGAGAATCACTTGCACCCGAGAGGCAGAGGTTGCAGTGAGCCAAGATCGTGCCACTGCATTCCAGCCTGGGCAACAGAGCAAAACTCTGTTTCAAAAAAATAAAAAAGCCGGATGCGGTGGCTCATGCCTGTAATCCCAGCACTTTGGGAGGCCAAGGCGGGCGGATTACTTGAGGTCAGGAGTTTGAGACTGGCCTGGCCAACATGGTGAAACCCTGTCTCTACTAAAAAATACAAAAATTAGCCAAGTGTGGTGGCGCGTGCCTGTAGTCCAGCTACTTGGGAGGCTGAGGCAGAAGAACCGCTTGAACCCGGGAGGCGGAGGTTGCAGTGAGCTGAGATCGTGCCACTGCACTCCAGCCTGGGTAACAGAGCAAGACTCCGTCTCAAAAAAAAAAAAAGTAACACAAGTAGGAGATTCAGCCAGAGAGGCCCAGACTCCCATCCTCAGAGTAGCGGGTCGGGGTGGACTCTGGGAGGGGAACACAGAGTGGCATCTACAGGGTCCTCTGCAGCCATGGTGTACACGAACATTGGGGAGGCAGGGCTGGTGTGACGAGGGTGGCCTGTGCCCTCCTGGGCTGTCTGGGAAAACAAGGTTGAGACAGTGGAAGTAGGAGGTGGTGGTGACAGGACCCAGCCATGCCACTTGCCATGGACCAAGGTCCAAGCCCAGGTAGGCCTGGAAGGCCAGGCTGGGGAAGGACGGAGCCCCAGAAGATAGGCACCCATGGTGCCTATGCAGCCTGCAGTAGTAGAGTCTGGGACACGAAGGGAAAGGAGTCCTGTGGGTGCCACAAACAAGGACCCAGACACTGGGACAGGTGTGAGCTCCCAGCAAGTGAGCATGGGACGTGGGCTGGGCTCAGGGGGCTGGGGGCAGAGGCTGACTGTCAAGAAGTCCCACGAGCTAGAAGCAGCCGAACATCACTTCCCTGGCCCTTACTCCAGCCTGCAACCTCACACCACGCAGGCTAAACACAGTCTCAGGCGGGGGTCTTGGCTCAACAGTGGGCCACCTTCCGGACAGACCAAGTCAGGAGTTCCAACAAACACACCTCAGATGTGAACTCCCCCCAAAATCCCAGGAGGAATCCCAACAGCAAACTAGACAAGAAGGGACACAGGAAATTTGACTGCCAGCCAAGCTCTGCAGAAACGCTCACAACTTACAGAAATGCACTATCCTCCCCTACTGAAATTATCAACCTTCTTATTCTTTTAATTTTAGTTTTATTTTTTCCTGAGATAGGGTTTCATTCTGTCACCCAGGCCTGCCTGGCAGCAACAGTTTAAAAAAATAAAAACTCAAGTTGTGGTCGGGCACAGTGGTGGTGGCCACCCCTGTAAGTAAGCCCAGCAATTTGGGAGGCCAGAGCAGGAACACTTGAGGCCAGGAGTTCGAGACCAGCCTGGGCAACACAAGAGGACCCTGTCTCTACAAAAAAATGAAAAAATTGGCTGGGCCCGGTGGCTCGCGCCTGTAATCCCAGCACTTTGGGAGGCCAAGGCAGGCAGATCACCTGAGGTCAGGAGTCTGAGACCAGCCTGGCCAATATGGCAAAACCCCATCTCTACTTAAAATACAAAAATTAGCCAGGCGTGGTGATGCACGCCTGTAATCCCAGCTACTGGGGAGATTGAGGCAGAATTGCTTGAACCCAGGAGGTGGAGATTGCAGTGAGCCAAGATGGCACCACAGTACTCCAGTGTGGGCAACAGTGCAAGACTCTGTCTCCAAAAACAAAAAGAAAAAGAAAAAATTAGTCAGGTGTGGTGGCACATACCTGCGGTCCCAGATACTTGGGAGGCTGAGGCGGGAGGATCACTTGAACCCAGGAGGTCAAGGCTACACTAAGCTATGATTGCACCACTGCACCACAGCCTGTGTGACAGAGCAAGACCCTATCTCTAAGACAAAATAATAATTTATAAACTAAAAAATAAAACAGGCCGGGCGCAGTGGCTCATGCCTGTAATCCCAGCACTTTGGAAGGCCAAGATGGGTGGGTCACCTGAGGTCAGGAGTTTGAGACCAGCCTGACCAACTTGGAGAAACCGTCTCTACTAAAAATACAAAATGAGCCGAGCATGGTGGCGCATGCCTGTAATCCTAGCTACTCGGGAGGCTGAGCCAGGAGAATCACTTGAACTTGGGAGGCGGAGGTTGCCATGAGCTGAGATCCTGCCACTGGATTCCAGCCTGGGCAACAAGAGCGAAACTCTGTTTCAAAAATAAATACATAAATAAAACAATTCTGAAGAATCCAAAATATAACAGAGACTCATAAACCGCTTACAGGCACGTAAACTCTCTACCTAAAAAGTCACTCAGGTACGAAGTATCAAGACCGTGAGGATGTCGGAACCCCAGTTTCTGTCTGTTCCTCAAACACTCATTCACTCACCCATCAAACACCTACTCCGTGCCAGAGCCCAGGATGGCTAGGTACTGAGGCCACTGGAATCAGTAAGGCGCAGTTAGGTCCCCTGATGACTTAAAATTGAACGTTTGATATTTGTCTATTCCCAAGACCATCTATTCTCAGGAAATGACTAAAAATATCATGAAGGCGCAATGCACACGGACCGAAAGCAACGTTCGGAACAGAAAACATCGGAGAAGGAACAAATAAAATGCCTACCAAGGAAATGGAGAACGGAACCACGGTACATGCTCTCAGCAGAACATTTAAGGCCATTAAAAAAATTGTACTTATAAAGACTTAGCAATAACGAAGGGAAAGGACCCACACGGTAACATACGGGAAAAGACACAGAGGCCCAAGATCCTACATGCACCAGGGGCTCTGCAGGTAGAAGCACATTGCACCATAAAATGAATTCAGAAGAAGACACAGAAAGACTCAGGGTATTGGGAAAATATAATGGCCCTTTTCCTTTGTTCTCTTTTTCTGTATTTTACACATTTTTCTTCTTTTTTTTTTTTTAATTTTTTTATTTTTTGAGACGGAGGCTCGCTCTGTCGCCCAGGCTGGAGTGCAGTGGCCGGATCTCAGCTCACTGCAAGCTCCGCCTCCCGGGTTCCCGCCATTCTCCTGCCTCAGCCTCCCGAGTAGCTGGGACTACAGGCGCCCGCCACCTCGCCCGGCTAGTTTTTTGTATTTTTTTTAGTGGAGACGGGGTTTCACCATGTTAGCCCATGTTGGGATGGTCTCGATCTCCTGACCTCGTGATCCGCCCGTCTCGGCCTCCCAAAGTGCTGGGATTACAGGCTTGAGCCACCGCGCCCGGCCGTATTTTACACATTTTTCTATGTGCACAAAGGAAAAACCAATAAACTTCTAAAAGCGGCCACAGCCCACAAGTGAGAGAAAGGACAAATGGTGCTTGGAAGGCAGGGAGATGTGAAGGTGTGCCAGGGAAGGTGGAAAGGGAGATGGAGAAATGGAATGTCGGGGTGGCACAAAACAAGGAAAGGAAGGGGCTGGGGTAGAGACCCAGGACCTACCTTTGACATTACTCAGCGACAGAGAGCGGTCCTGGTCTGCCAGCCCAGGCCCCAGCCGGCCACTGCCACCACTGTCCTTCTGCCGGGCCACAGCCACTGCAATGCCCACGGGCGGGTGTCGCACTTCTGCCTCACCCTGGGCACCAGAGCCCTCGCGCCCAAAAGCCTTGGCGCTCTCGGGCCTCTCCGGGTCTCGCTTCAGCTGCCGGCTGCCACCCGCTGCAGGGCCTCCAGAGTGTGGGAGTCGGCCCTGGGCTCGGGGGGCACCAGCAGAGGTGGGCGCAGGCTCGGGTTTCATGGTGCCCAAACCTCCAAAAGGGCTCTTCTTGCCACAGCCACCAGGGCGCACGGCCACAGCCTCCCGGGCGAAACTGCCACTGTACTTTATAAGGCTCTGCATGGCAGAGGCCTCTCCAGGCCCGTGGGCTGTAGAGTGCATGTCGGCGATAGGCCGGCTGCAGGTGGCCGCTGAGCGGGGCAGCACAGCCCCAGGGTCCAGGTAGGCCTTCTTCGAGGAGGAGGCAGCGACCACGGCGGCCTCCTCTTCGGCGCGGCTGTGGTGGTGCTGCGCAGCCAGCACGGCCATCTGCGTGGTGGCGAAGTTGCCCAGCTCGAAGGGTTTCCATTTGTGCTCAGGGCCGGTGGGCGGGGGGCGCCCGGGCTCCAGGCCGAAGAGCTTGGCGGCCTGTTGGGCTGCAGGACCGGCTGGGCCGCGGGGCGCACGCTCGCAGGGCCTCGGGTCCGCCTCGGGCTTGAGCAGCTCCTTGGCAGGCAGGTAAGCGCGGGGGTCCGGGGAGGCGCGTGCAGCCCGCACCGTGGGGGCATCTGCAGGCGACGGCCGCTTGAGCGAGCGGATGACCGAGTTCTTCTCGCGCAGGCCCTCGGGCCGGTCCAGAGGCCGCGGGGAGCCGGGGGGCGCCTGCAGGACCCCTGGTCTACCAGCCTCACGCTCGCGGGCCCGGGCATCACGCGCCTGGGATGCGATCTGGATGGGCCCGGGGCGCTCGTCGAAGACCTCTACAGAAGGCACGAAGGTGGGCGCCACCACGCGGTGCTCACGGCCCTGCTCGCGGAAGACGGTGTAGACACCGGCGGGGGTGGCCGCGGGGGGTGCGGGAGGCCCCTTGGGGGGCGCAGGCGGCAGGGGCAGCGGCGAGGGGCAGGGGCGCGGCCCGGGTAGCAGCGTCTCCGTGCGCCGCAGCAGCCGCGCGCCCTCGTCCTGCCGGGCGGCCTCCTTAGCACCCCCGCGCCCCGCTTCGGCCACCAGCGCGGGCAGCCCCGCGTCCCCGGCGCCGCCGTTGCACATGGTTAGTACCGACGGCTGCAGTGCCGCGTTCTTGGTCTTGGACTCAGTCAGGAAGGGCGACAGGCGCTCAGCCAGGCGCGGGGGCCCCCGGTCCTGGCGGCCCTCCGCACGCGCCTCCTGGGTCAGGTCCACCACGCCGCGTGGCCCCGAGGCCTCCTCGCCCCGGGCGCGCGGGTCCTTCTTGCCGAACAGCAGAGGCGGCTCCCCGCCGCGGCCCGCCCGCTCCTTGGCTGGACCGTCCCGCGACGACGAGCCTTTTGCAGGGGGGCCCGAGGAGTGGCCGCCGCCAGGGGTCCGGGCCGAGGGCGCGTGAGAGTGCAGGGCGCCCGGAGCCCCCGCGGTGGGCAGGTAGAAGCCGTCTGCAGAGAAGAGAGCAGCAGGCAGTGAGCGAGCGCCACCTCCCACCCCTGCCTGGGCGGAGGAGGACACCTGAGAGGGAGCTGGGCCAACCCATGCCTCCCCCAGTGTTTTTTTTGTTTGTTTTTTTGTTTTTTTTTTTTTTTTTGAGACAGTCTCGCTCTTGTCGCCCAGGCTGCAGTGCAATGGCGCAATCTTGGCTCACTGCCTCCTGGATTCAAGCGATTCTCCTGCCTCAGCCTCCCGAGTGGCTGGGATTACAGGCGCACCCCACCATGCACGGCTTATTATTGTATTTTTAATACAGGCGGGGTTTCACCATGTTCGTCAGGCTGGTCTTGAACTCTTGACCTCAGGTGATCCACCTGTCTCAGCCTCCTAAAGTGCTGGGATTACAGGCGTGAGCCGCACTCGGCCCAGTGCTTTCTCTTGGAAATTAAACTAGTTTGGTGCAGGGAGCCCCGAGGTTTCACAGCAAGGCAAGGCATCTCCCCAGGGCAAGAAGAGAAGAAATGGGCAACCCAGCTAGAGAGTGCAGGCTCTGGAAATATCTAGAACCAAGTTTAAATCTACCCTTCCCGTGCCTCAGTTTCCTCATCTGTAAAAGGAAAGACCAGGGGTTGTTTTCAGAGCTTCCCAGAAGGCCTAGCAGGGCCCCTAAGAGGAGAGTGTGACCAGAAGGCACCCAGGGCTGTGGGTGGGCCCAAGGAGTCTGTGGGGGTCTTAGGGACTCAGGTCTCAAAAGAGCATCTGAGGCTCACATCTGTAATCCCAGCACTCTGGGAAGCCGAGGTAGGAGGATTGCTTGAGGCCAGGAGTTTGAAACCATCCTGGGCAACACAGCAAGACTCCACCTCTACAAAAAGTTAAAAAGTCAGCTGGGTGTGGTGGGGTACGTCAGCCTGGGCAACATAGTGAGACCCTGTCTCAAAAAAAAAAAAAAAAGCAAGCATCCTGGACAGAGCTGGTGGCTAGCTGGATGCTGCCAAAGGCCCCAGAAGCCTGTCAGAAGGCCCCTGTGCCACCCCCCACCCCGGACTCCACAGTCTTACCTCCTCCTGGCCCCTGACCTTTCTGGGTATCGAAAATGCTGGGCTGACCCAGCTGGCTGAGGAGGGGGCTCCCACTGCTGGGGGGCTCCAGGTGGCTCAGGTGGAGGTAGGATGGGTACAGCCCGCTGGGCAGGTGGGAGAAGCCTGTAACAGAGAAAAGAGAAAAGCTGGGCCGGGCCAATTTGTGCTGCCCACCAGGAGCTTCCTTCCAGCTCCTGGAAATAAACTATTTCGGCAGGTGACCGCTGGTGTAGGGAGCTTCGAGGTTTAACAGCAGCTCCTCAGGGCATTCCCCTGCTCCCCAACCCTGGGTCTCTCTCCAGGCCCAGGAAGCCCTCATGGGAGGATGGGGTCTCCAGTCCCCACAGGAAGAGGATCAGAATGGATCCAACTAGCAGGGCCCGATAACAGTCTACCAAACATGACCAAGAGCTTTGCCACTGTCATCCTCATTTAAACCTCAGAAACGACCTACGAGGAAGAGACTTAATGTCCTTACTTTAAAGATGAGAAAATTCAGAGAAGGCCACTTGCCCAAGGAGATACAGCAGAGCTGCCTGGCTTTGGACCGAGGCCATCAAACCCTGGAGCCAGGACTCTTAACCTCAGCCTAACACGGGCCCTTTCTCTGTTGTGTGACCCCAAGCTGGTCACTTGCCTTCTCTGAACCTCAGAGGACCCAGCATCTTCAGCTGCTGGGTCTCTCAGGCAGAAGCTGCCAGGAAGGAATTCCCCCCACCAAAGATCCTCCCCGCCTCCCCAAAGGCCCCCCACCAGCAATGCCCAGCATCAGGACCTGCTGACTTCAACTATTCACAATTTTTTGTTTGTTTTGTTTTTTTTGGAGACAGAGTCTTACTCTGTGGCCCAGGCTGGAGTGCAGTGGCAGGATCTCGGTTCACGGCAGCCTCCGCCTCCTGAGTTCAAGAGGTCCTCCTGCCACAGCCTCCCGAGGAGCTGGGATTACAGGCGCCTGCTACCACACCCGGTTCATCTTTGTATTCTTAGTAGAGAAGGAGTTTCACCATGTTGGTGGGGCTGGTCTGGAACTCCTGGCCTCAAGTGATCCGCCCACCTCAGCCTCCCAAAGTGCTGGGATTACAGGTGTGGTGGTGCATGCCTGTAATCCCAGCTACTCAGGAGGTTGAGGCAGGAAAATCGCTTGAACCCGGGAGGCAGAGGTTGCAATGAGCCGAGATCGTGCCACTGTACTCCAGCCTGGGCGACAGAGCAAGACTCCATCTCAAAAAATAAAAAAAAAAATTTAAAAATACAACCAATAAAAAACAAACAGGCCGGGTGTGGTGGCTCAAGCCTGTAATCCCAGCACTTTGGGAGGCCGAGACGGGTGGATCACGAGGTCAGGAGATCGAGACCATCCTGGCTAACATGGTGAAACCCCGTCTCTACTAAAAAAAAAAATACAAAAAACTAGCCGGGCGAGGTGGCGGGCGCCTGTAGTCCCAGCTGCTCCGGAGGCTGAGGCAGGAGAATGGCGTGAACCCGGGAGGCGGAGCTTGCAGTGAGCTGAGATCGGGCCACTGCACTCCAGCCTGGGCGACAGAGCGAGACTCTGTCTCAAAAAACAAACAAACAAACAAACAAACAAACAAAAAAACAGCACTCCCACACAGGCACCAGGTCTCTGCTCTCCCGTCTGTAAAATGGACCTAATGGGCTTAATAGGCCAGGCGCAGTGGCTCATGCCTATAATCCCAGCACTTTGGGAGGTCAAGGTGGGGGGATCGCTTGGGCCTAGCAGTTCAAGACCAGCCTGGGACACATGGTGAAACCCCGACTCCACCAAAACAAAATCTAGTGGTTAACTGGGCGTGACGGTATGCACCTATAGTTCCAGCTACTCAGGAGGCTCAGGTGGGAGAATGGCTTGAGCCTGGGAGGCAGAGGTTTCAATGAGCCGAGATTGCACCACAGCACTCCAGCCTGGGCGACAGAGCAAGACCCTGTCTGTAAAAATAAGGGCCTAACAGTCCCTCCCCCAGGCAGGGCTGGCTCTGAGGCTGAAGTGAGCTGAGTGTGCACTGGGCTGTGGTAAGCACGCTGTGTGTTTGCGGTCATTACTAGGATTTGTTGGCCAAAGAGAAAAGGAAGTCTCAGGGAGACAGAGGTAACGAGCTGCTGGCAGACAGGCCCGAGAGGCAGGCTCTTCTCGCCCAGGCACCTGCCTTGGCTGGTTAAAGTGGCAGGCTCAGGTGGGACCCCAGCCTAGAAGGCCCCCTCTGTGCAGGCCAGACACCCTCGTGCCTGGATTCAGATGCCTTCCCCAGAGTGTCCAGGAGGAGCAGACTCGCTGACCTCATCTGTACAACGGGCAACGTACTGTAAGGACTGGATAGGGTCCTGTGGCTGGGGATGCCTCTGGCTAAACCTGTCTCCTCCTGGGCTGAACGCAGTAGCCACAGGATTCGGGATGACGGTGAGCACTCGGTCAGACCTGACCCCACCAGAGGAAGGGGAGGGACAGTAGCTGGGGAGGGCCGGAAGAGCCCTAAACCTGCAGCAGGAGCTCCAGGGCTGTAACCTTCCAGGAACCATGAGCACCTACAGGACACCTGGGAGGAGGGAGGAGGAAGGAGGAAGGAGGTACCTAGTGCCCAACATCCAGAACCTGTCAAAGGAGGAGAGGAGGAGCTCAGAGGTCCTCAGGCCCATTCCTTTACAGGCAGAGAATGAAAGTGAGGCTCTACAGAAATCCAGAATCTGCTCATGGCCTGGGGGAAGCCAGGCCTGCAGAGCCCCTACATTGAGGGGCATGGCTGCAGAAATGCAAAAGAAGAGGCCCCAACAGCCCCAGGTCCCCAGGCTCCAGGAAATTTTTTTTGTAGAGATGGGGTCTCGCTATGTTGCCCAGGCTGGTCTCGAACACCTGCCCTCAAGTGATCTTCCCACCTCAACCTCCCAAAGTGTTGGGATTACAGCTGTGAACCACCACGCCCGGCCTGCTCCTCTAATTATTAATGAGCCTACTGTGCACCAAGGATACAGTGCTGAGTAGATCAAACCAGGCCCTGCACTCAGGGCTCACTCCGGTGGGAAAGCAGGGGTTCATGAAGGATCAGATAATCTGTCGTCACAAGAGAGTGATGGAAGGGGGTGGGGAAGAGGGGGTCTCTGAGCTGAGCTGGAGGAGAAATGGAAGGTGGTCTGTGGCATGGGGTGTCAGGCTGGAAGGAGAGAGAACAGCTCGTACAAAGGCCCTGTGATTGTGACAACAGGAAGCCCTGAGCGTTTGAGAAATGACAGGGAGGCCAGGTGACCTGGGGCCCACCAGCCCCAGCTCAGTGATGACAATAGAGGGGCATATGAAGTGGCCAGAGTGGCTGGGACGTCAGCCCAGCAGCCCTCAGCCCCGACCCCGGCATGCTCCTTACCTTCATGGGCGTGGGCGGCCCACAGCTGCACCATGGGCAGGTTGCTAGGGGTTGGGGAGCGGAAGGAGAGGTCAGAGGGCAGTGGCACCGGGCTCCCATGGGATGAGGCCGAGGGCCCCATCCCGCTGGCCACAAAACTGCCCAAGAAGGCCTCGCCTGCAGAGAGAAGTTGGGAGGACCGTCAGGCAGCCAGTCAGGCCAGCGCCGCCGCCCCAGCCCACCACCCCGAGACCCCCGCCTCTCCCCAACTGTGTGGAACTGATAATGGCCAACTGACCAAGAGGGTTCCCCTGCTCCGGCCCCACCCCTGGGCCGCAGGATGGGCCTGGGTCAACCCAACCAGACCCAGGGCTTGAGAAAGCACAAGATGGCAGGAAGCCCCCAACAGCAGACCCTCAGCCCTCGGCACCCCACACCCTCAGAGGAGGGCCTTCTACCCCTGCCGCCCAACCAGCCCAGATCCGGCTTGGCACCGTTCTCCCCATCTGCAGGGGGAATCCTGAAGTCGGTGGGGCACTGGGACTTCCAGAGGCCACAGGGCAAGGCGGTGGGGGACTCACAGGCGGGTGGCTCATATGCTGAGCTCTGCAGGCCGAGAGGACACCCACCCTCCAGCCGGAGAATGACCTCCCACGGCAGCCCTAGCCAGCCCCGTGTGCCCACTTAACAAAGAAAGTGAGGCTCAGAGATGGGAAGTGCCAGGTCACACAGCCAGAAAGCAGGGACTTGGCACCACCGAGCCACAGTGGCTTAGGGGATGAATCTGTGAATGCATGGAGTGGCAGACATGGGGGTCACTAAGGGAGCCCCATCAAGGGCAACCCCTGCAGACAGCAGGCCCCACACACCTGGGGTTACTGCCTATAGGGGCCACAGGCTGACTGCTGCTCAGAAAGATGATGGAAATCAGCTGGGGCCTGGGTGGAAGCCACAGCCAGCCCCGCCACACCCCACATGGGCAGGCCCACATCGGACAGGGTGCCTCCCAGCTGCCACCCAGGGCACTGTCCCACAAGCCCCAAACGCCACCCCTTCTAAGGGAAGACCCTGGCAGGCCTCTGGGTAACAGGTCAGAGAGAAGCATGCAGGCCCTGGGGCAAGGGGCTTCCCTTACCAGGTCTCAGTTTGCGTATCAACAAAATGGGGATAAAAATGCCTCCCTCTGGGAATGACAAGGAAGGAAGCATATGTTTAATCACAGTGACAACATAATGAGGCCGGGCGCGGTGGCTCACGCCTCTAATCCCAGCACTCTGGGAGGCTGAGGCAGGCGAATCACGAGGTCATGAGTTAGAGACCAGCCTCGCCAACATGGTGAAACCCTGTCCCTACTAAAAAGACAAATACAAAACATTAGCTGGGCATGGTGGCGGGCACCTGTAGTCCCAGCTACTTGGGAGGCTGAGGCAGAAGAATCCCTTGTACCCAGGAGGCAGAGGTTGCAGTGAGCCGAGATCGCGCCACTGCACTCCAGCCTGGGTGACAGAGTGAGACTCCGTCTCAAAAAAACAAAAACAAAAACAAAAAATTAGCTGGACGTGGTGGCAGGCACCTGTAATTTCAGCTACTCGGGAGGCCGAGGCGGGAGAATCACTTGAACCCAGGAGGCGGAGGTTAGTCAGCTGAGATCATGCCATTGCACTCCAGCCTGGGCGACAGAGTGAGACTCCGTCTCAAAAAAAAAAATATATATATATATATATAACGATAAATAATGACAACAGGCCAGGCAAGGTGGCTCTCGCCTGTCGTCTCTGGAGGCTGAGGCGAGAGGATGGCTTGAGCCCAAGAGTTGGAGACTGCGGTGGGCTGTGAGTGAGGTTTTCACACTGCACTCCAATCCGGACCACAGAATAAAACCTGGACTCAAAATATAAATAACAACAACCATAACCAGCCGTGGCACCGATTCACTAAAACTTGGCATGCACCAGGCACCGTGCAGGTGATTTCAAACCCTCCCGGCAACGCCCTCAGGTAGGTGGCAGCAAAGCCAGCCCCCAGCGGAGGGATTCCGTGTGTACCCTAGAGCCACCTCCTTTAAGTCCCTGTGTCGTGGACACTGTTTACAGGTGTCACGGATAAGTTATGTGGCTTTGCAGGAGATGCGGGCTCCCAGATGGCCCCGGTCCAGCCTGTGGGAGCTCACAGGCCCAAGTCCAGCCTCTGGGTCCCAAGTGCCCCCCGGCTCCCCAACAAACGGCCTCAGTGACCGCCCAAGTCCTTCTGATCAAGGCCCAGCCTGTGGACAGTGTGAGGCCGGTAGCGACCCCTGGTGTGCCGGGCCCGGGTCTTCCCGGAGTCGGGTTGCTTGGGAATGCAGCCCAAAGCGTGTGATAAACTCTATCTGAGGCTAAATACCAGCACGAGACCCATAGTCAACAAGTACCGTCAGAGATCCCAGAATGTCCAACCCAGCTTCTTTGGGGTACATGTGGGGAAACTGAGGCAGAGAAGGGCAGGGCCTCCACCTTGGGCCCCAGAGACAGGAGTGGGCAGAGCAGCAGGGGGTGCCCTCTGACCACATGCCCTGTCACCACCGCCCCATGTCCGGACCCCAACAGTCCAGTCCAGCCAGGCCCAGCCCCCTCACCGGACTCCAGCGCCAAGCCCTTGGGCCCCAGGGCCTCGGTGGCCAGTCAGTCCATCCATGCGGCCCAAGCCGGGGCAGCAGGGCCTCTGAGCCCTGCCGAGCCCCGGGCTTCCGCCTTGCTGTGGCAGGCGGATGGGTAGAAGGCTCCGGAAGCCAGCAGCCAGGGTTTGCGCAAGAGCTTACATCAGCCGCCAGCTCTTCCTGCCCCAGGCTGCACGGAAGCCTAGCGGCCCAGGCCGGCCCCTGACCGGGCTTGTGAAACCCGCCCAGCAGCACCCAGGCCCGGATGCCAGCCAACGGCTCCTGCCAGCCACAGGGCTCAACGGCACCCAAAGCCCCTCCTCCCGGGCTGGGCGGGGCATCTGGGAACCCCCAGCATCCCCAGCAAGTCAGTGCCGTTCCCAGGGCCTCAGTTTGCAACTCTGTAAAATGGACACACGATCCCTACTCAGCTAGGGCAATAAGGCCAGCACTCGCCCATCACCTGCCCCCACCTCTCTCTCCAGAACAAACTTCTCCCTGGTCACGTCCCCGTGCCTGCCCGCTTTCCTGCCTGGCCCCTCAGGCACGAGCTCCCAGGCCTCCTAGAACCCTCCTCCTTCACTCCCACCTCAGGCCTCCCTGGGCCCCAGAGAAGCCCCCAACAACCACACAACCCAAGCAGGCCCCAAGTGACACTGTGACCATCCACGGCCCCTCAGAAACAGATCTGCCAGCCTCCTTGTGTATTTCATGCCTCTGTCTTCCCGAGAGTTCCCTCCCTGAAAGCGGGGACTAGCTGCCTCACTTCCTGCCACATCACAGTGGCTGGAACCTGCCACCTGTGATCTGCCATCCAGGGCACACTTGTATTGGGGATTATCCGATCGCTAAGTGTTGTTTCTTTTTTTAGAGACAGGGTCTCACTCTGTTCACCCAGGCTGCAGTGCAGTGGCTCAATCACAGCTCACTGCAGCCTCCAACTCCTGAGCTCAATCAATCCTCCAGCCTCAGCTTCCTGGGTGGGCTAGGAAGGGACCACAGGCACACATCATCAGGCCCAACTAATTTTTTTTTTTTTTTTTTTTTTTTTTTTTTTGATTTTTTTTTTTTTTTTTGAGATGGAGTTTCACTCTTGTTGCCTAGGGTGGAGTGCAATGGCACGATCTCGGGTCACCACAACCTCCGCCTCCCAGGTTCAAGCGATTCTCCTGCCTCAGCCTCCCAAGTACCCGGGATTACAGGCATGCACCACCACGCCCGGCTAATTTTGTATTTTTAGTAGAGATGGGGTTTCTCCATGTTGGTCAGGCTGGTCTTGAACTCCCAACCTCAGGTGATCCAACCACCTCATCCTCCCAAAGTGCTGGGATTACAGGCATGAGCCACTGTGCCTGGCCACCCACCTAATTTTTTTCTTTTTATTTTTTTCAGAGATAGGGTCTTGCTATGTTGCCCAGGCTGGTCTCAAACTCCAGGCCTCAAGCAATCCTCCTGCCTTGGCCTCCCAAAGTGCTGGGATTACGGGAGCGAGCCACCACGCCCGGCCTCTTTTTTTTAAAGACAGGGTCTCTCTCTCTTCACCCACACTGTACTACAGTGGCTCAATCATGGCTCACTACAGCCTCCAATCCTGAGCTCAATCAATCCTCTAGCCTCAGCCTCCTGGGTAGCAGGGCCCACAGGCACACACCACCATGCCCAACTAATTTTTCTTTTTTGCAGAGATGGGATCTTGCTGTGTTGCCCAGGCTGATCTCAAACTCCTGGCCTCAAGCAATCCTCCTGCCTTGGCCTCACAAAGTGCTGGGATTATAGGTGTGAGCCACCGCGCCTGGCCATAAATGAGATTTCCAGTGTTCCCAGGGCCAAAGCAAAGAAATTCACATTAGGACGAGGAGAGGGTCAAGGCATCCCGCAACCCACAAGAGAGGCTCTAAAATAAACCCTGAGGAAGCACAGGCCATCCTGCCTTGTCTCCTTGTATCTCTACACTGTACCCCAACCCCCTACAGTGCCCCCCGCCCCACCCACTGCTCACACCCACACCCAAGGACCGAGCAGTTGCCATCCCCCCGTTTCACCAAGAAGGGTACAGGCCGCAGGGTGTCAGGGCTCACTCAGAGTTAGGCCCAGAGCTCACTGGCCTCTCCAAAGACTTGGTTGGAATCCCTCATGCCAACCTGCGGTATGGGGGTCTCCCTGCCTCCCGCCCTAGGCTGAGCTCAAGACCTAGCTCCCCAAATCAAGTAACTGGCTGCCGCCTGCTCACCCCGGTAATTATCTCACCCGACACCTTAGAAGCTAAGACCAATGACTGTCAAAACCTAAAACACAAAGCTGGGCCCAGTGGTTCACACCTGTGAACCATGAAGAATAACAATAATCATAGACCAGACACAGTGGCTCAGGTCTGCCATCCCAGCACTTTGGGAGGCCGAGGTGGGCGGATCACTTGAGGCCAGGAGTTCAGCCTGGCAGACGTGGTAAAACCCTGTCTCTATTAATAATACAAAAATTAGCTGGGCGTGGTGGCACGCACCTGTAATCCCAGCTACTCGGGAGGCTGAGGCAAGGGAATTGC